ACGCCGAGACGGGCCTGGAGGGCGGAGGGTCCTTCGGAAGACCCCGGAATCCCCAAAGGATCCAGGAGGAAGAAGAGAGATATCAGTGCCCGGAATGTGAAAAATTCTTCAAGAGAAATCAGTGTCTTCGAAAGCATCTAAAGGTCCATTCAGGAGAAAAACCTCATAAATGTCTGGAGTGTGGAAAGAGCTTCAGTCAGAGGAGCCACCTTTATAGACATCAAAGGATCCACACAGGAGAAAAACCTCATAAATGTCTGGAGTGTGGAAAGAGCTTCAGTCAGAGGAGCAGCCTTTATAGACATCAAAGGATCCACACAGGAGAAAAACCTCATAAATGCCTGGAGTGTGGAAAGAACTTCAGTCAGAGGAGCAGCCTTTATAGACATCAAAGGATCCACTGGAGAGAGAAACCGAATATATGCCTGGAGGACGGAGGATCCTTGGGAAGACTCTGGATTTCCCAAAAGGATCCAGGAGTGAGAAGAGAAATATCAGTGCCCGGAATGTGAAAAATCTTTCAAAACTAATTGACATCTTCAAAGGGATCTAACAATCCACACTGGAGAAAAACCTCACAAATGCCTGGAGGGTGGAAAGAGCTTCAGTCAGAGGATCCACCTTTATACACATCTAAGGATCCATTGGGGAGAAAAAACACATATATGTGTGGAGTGGGAAAAGAGCTTCAGTGAAAGGGGAAGTCTAGATATCCATCAAAGAATCCACACAGGAGAAAAATCCTACAAATGTCTCGAGTGTGGAAAGAGCTTCACTAGTACTTCACCCCTCTGTGAACATCAAAGAATCCACACAGGAGAAAAACCACATAAATGCCTTGAATGTGTAAAATGTTTCAGTAGGAGAGGAAGTCTGTATCGACATCATTCACACAGGAGAAAAACCACATAAATGCCTGGAGGGTGGAAAGAGCTATACTGAGCATAGAAAGCTCCATCGACACTAAAGAATTCATGTGGGAGAAAAATGATAAACATGCCTGAGTGTGAGAAGATCCTCAGTCCCGGTGTGAATTTAAGGAATTGAATTCAATAGCATTTTCAATTTGGCCAAATGTGAATAGACAGGCTAGGAATTTGTGCACAAGCTCTCAGTGTACCTACAAAGCAACAGAATAAGGATATTCATAATAATAATTGTAATAATCCCAATGGGGGGGGGATGAGTAAAGGAAGATATTAAGAAGAGTAAATAATAACTGCCAAATAAGGGACTGTCTCAGACTGAATAACAAAGGACTTTTTCAATTATACATGCTGTTTCAACCTCCTGAAATTGTACTTTTTCAGAAGAGACTTAGGTGACTCAGGATGCCATTTCCCTTGTGAATGTTCTTTTAATGCAATGCTCATTTCAGTTGTTATGCTTAATATTATGGGATGTTACTGTCCATGTCTTTGATGTAAATGCTACTTAGCAGGATGATTTCTTCCATGGAATCAACTCTCATTTTCTACCGTATGGAGTATAAAATGAAGCCAAATTTTGTCTCCCAGATTTCCTCTCTTTATTGATGGAAATATCTTTGCTACAATCCTCTAATAAATTGCCTTTAAATAATCATCCCAATCGGATCCTAATTGAAGCAAGTGTTCTCTGGTTGAATCTAAGGCTAATTTGGCCTTTATTGTAGTGGGTGTGAAAGAGCTTCTCTCTGT